CCTTAAATCCCCATGCCATAGACAACAATTTTTATTTTTAAATTTTTTGGATCACCGATGCTGACAGATTCAAACCTGATCCAGATTTCCAATCCGGCGATTTGACAAGGATTTGTTGGTCAACAATCCACCCTACTGCTCTAGGTTTTAAAACACTGATAAAAACAATTATAAACAATCCCGACCGTCCATTTCTTTTCTTTTAATCTGAAACATTGGGGGGGGGGGGGTAGTTGTGCACCCTTCAAGGATTCATATCACGTGACACCATTCTTTTCTTTCACATTTATGCAGTCAAGTCTTTTACTGAGCATACCTGCTGATAGTTTTGATTGTCATTGAGATGTAAGAATGACTGAATATTGTCTTGTTTTAAAAGATTTATGATTGTGATATTGTTTTTCCTGTTGTTAAGCATATCTTATATTCAGTCCGATACGTATATCTTTTCTCTAAACTAAAAAGGCTAGGTCAGCTTGTTGGGTTTTTATGGCACAAACTTCATGGGTTCAAACTGTTGGCCTTCTTCACCTAGACCAATATGGCTACTACCTGGTCAAAGCCTAAGGGACTAGAAATCCTTTTTTCTTTGAAGTTTATGTGGATGTTTTTGCATTACTTATTTTTTGGAAAGTTAAGAAGCAGCTAACACCTGCTGCATTAGTAATGTAGTGGCACTAGAAGTTCTCTTGTCCTATTTATCTTTCTTGAAAAATAGCAGTGCTTATAGTTTAATTCCTTTAGCTTTTTCTTTTTGAGGGAAGAGAGAAGTATACTGTTTGTTTATTATACATAGTTCTCTCAACTAACAATCAGGATAATTGTTCTCTTAACTCTTTGACTATTTGTCTTGCTTGACCTTAAATAGTTGTTTCCTTATCAGATATTGGATTTCTTACTGTGTTCAGATTCATGTCATGAAATGTTTGGGCTTCCTTATCTTCAGATCTACTTAACTAGTTTATTGAGTGTATTAAATGTTCCAAGAAATCCTTTCCTTGTTCAGGACTCATGTGCATTACCATTGATTTCGCAATGCAGGCACTTCTACATGCTTGTATTGCATGCTCATTGAAACCATCAATTGAATGGATTGCAGCCAGTGATCTTGAAGATACAGCAGAAAAAGAGGTTTGGACTCATTTTTATATCCTCCCCAGTGAGAAATTCTCTGCCCTTAAATCTAATGAATATGCCATGTTCTGAGACTTCTCTTTGCCATCCAGAGACCAGAAGAGCATCTAGCTGCGTGGGTGAAATTGAAGGTGGGATATTTATTAATGCACTTTGCATTTTGTTACATTATGGTACTATCCATGCCTGGGTAACTAAGGCACCAAGGTGCTTGTATATGTGTTTCATGTCTATATGGGTACAATACACTGCCCATCGTTGTTAAGAAAAATCCAAAATGATCGTAATCTGATTAACATATTAAATTGTCTCGTAGTATAACATATCCAAACCTATGATATATCTTTCCAAAACTATAGCATATGCATGCTATTAAACTTGTTTTAGTATATAATTCTTGCATTACGCAAACTTTATATAGCTACATATAGGATACCCATATCCTTGTATTTTACATAGCTATGTATAGGATACCCATATCCTTATCTGGATCGGGGATTACCTTAGCCGGTTGGACTCACTATTCCAATTTGTATTATGCAACACTATTGATGACCTGTCGACGATCACAGAGTGCTGCTTGCGTTTTGGTGCCTGGTGGATTTGGAGATCGTGGAGTTCTAGGGATGATACTAGCTGCCAAGTATGCAAGAGAAAGTCAAGTTCCCTACCTTGGGATATGCTTGGGCATGCAAATATCTGTGATTGAGTTTGCCCGATCAGTGAGTTATCATTCTCTCAGATATTGGTTTTCTTGCTTTCCTACTTTAGTTCATAACCATGACCTTCTATCAGATTTTGGGACTCAAAAGAGCCAACAGTACAGAGTTTGACTCTGAAACAACTGAACCTGTTGTCATCTTTATGCCTGAGGTAATGCTTTGCATAGTTAATTGTATTTACCAACTTACCATACGTGTTCATGAGTATACAAGCCTATTATCCTTTGGTATCTATTTTGCAGGGTTCGAGAACACACATGGGAAGCACAATGAGACTGGGATCTAGGACAACATTCTTCCAGACTCCTGACTGCATTACTTCTAAGCTGTATGCTAGATCCCCAATAAATTCATGACAAGAGTTCTTGAATTGAGATAAACTGGATAGTCACTCATTAGAGTTGCTGTAATCTAAATTAACTCTAGAATTCTTCCTTATCATATGATTTTATACTTGATAAGTGCCAACGTATTTATTATGTACAATGCATATTATTGATAAATTGACTCCTTTGGATTCAACCAATTTGTCTCTGAAAAAATATTTCTGTTTTAATTATAAAAACAACAAAATTACATAAAACTTTTTGTTTCTCTTGTAGATACCGAAACTCTCGGTTTGTGGATGAGCGTCACCGACATAGATATGAGGTAACCTTAGAGGGAAGACCTAAAGATCTTGCTTTATCCCTTCAGAGATGTTTGTACATTTTCTATCCTATTCATGAGAATGTAGAATTAATCGATTCTATTGGTAAGAATAATGCATTCCTGAATAAAGGAAATGAATGGCATTGTAATCATCAAGATAATGCAATATTTTCCTTTGTAGGTAAATCCAGAAATTGTAGACCGCATAGAAGATGCTGGATTGAAATTTACAGGAAAGGACGAAAGTGGCAAAAGAATGGAGGTATGGGACTGCAAGAAAGCATATACTATAATCCAAAGGGATATATTATCGTCATTATATTGTAATACGGTTAATCCAGCATCAGTTATTAATGGTTGAGGATTAACTGGAGATATTTGGGTCCACTAGGACATACGCGCAAGTACCACTGGGTATAGTTAATCTCCAACCATTTGAGTAGTGAATGGCGATTAACAGTGGATGCCAATTAGAGTGCCATAAGCCATCAGAATGTGGTAACCTATCCCAGTAATTGTCTTGGATCTCATTGGCATCAAATATGCGGACTTGCTATTACTCTAAACATCAGTTTGTGTTACCAGGTTTTAGAGTTACCAAGTCATCCTTACTATGTGGGAGTGCAATTCCATCCAGAGTTCAAGTCAAGACCTGGGAAGCCTTCTGCTCCATTTCTAGGTACGATCTAGTCAATTCAAATATACTTCCATTATGACGGAAATTAAATGTCTCTTTTCCCTGTGTTTCTAATGCATATCTTGAGCTTTCTTCCATCTATTGTTCGAATGCAGAACCAAATTATGCATGCCTTGTCATTACTAGAATTTCTCACTTGTTTATGCCCACTAGGCTGCAAAGCTGCATTATTCTGTTAGCTACTATTTCTATGCACATGGTCAACTGTTTGTATCTAACTAAAGTTGTATGTCCTCTCTTAAAAATATTGAAAGTAGTTCAGTCGATGTTGAAAAAAAAAAGAAAAAAAGAAACATACTACAGGAAAGAAAGAGAGAATGAAAGAGCAGATTATAAATTATCCTTATGTAGTGGACGACACTGATTAAATACCATCCAGAGGGGAACTACAGAAAGTAGAGTTTATGAATAACTTTCTGGAGATTGGACGTCCATATTTCATGTAGTGCAATCCTTCCAAGTTGTAAAATTCATCCAAATGTTAGATTCGATAATTATCACTTGAGAGCATATGTTATGATGGTATGATGGTGTTTTGTCATACATGCTAAAAGGAACTTTTAAGTTAGAGCTTTGGAGAAGTTTTAGGGTTGGGTTACCTGTGATATATGCAAATTGCTACTACAGAACAATGTTAGTAATGCAGAACCAAATTATGCATGCCTTGTCATTACTAGAATTTCTCACTTGTTTATGCCCACTAGGCTGCAAATCTTGCATTATTCTGTTAGCTACTATTTCAATGCACATGGTCAACAGTTTGTATCTAACTAAAGTCGTATTTCCTCTCTTAAAAATATTGACAGTAGTTCAGTTGATGTTGAACAAAAAAAAAATGAAACATACTACAGGAAAGAAAGAGAGAATGAAAGAGTAGATTATAAATTATCCTTATGTAGTGGACGACACTGATTAAATACCATCCAGAAGGGAACTACAGAAAGTAGAGTTTATGAATAACTTTCTGGAGATTGGAGGTCCATATTTCATGTAGTGCAATCCTTCCAAGTTGTAAAATTCATCCAAATGTTAGATTCAATAATTATCACTTGAGAGCATATGTTATGATGGTATGATGGTGTTTTGTCAGACATGCTAAAAAGTAACTTTTAAGTTAGAACTTTGGAGTAGTCTTAGGGTTGGGTTACCTGTGATATATGCAAATTGCTTCTACAGAACAATGTTAGTACTTAATACTGCTAACTCTTTCTGTGGTTATACTCATTGTTTTATTTCTACTATTGTGTGTCTTGCCTAATTTGGAACTAGCAGAATATTGGTCCTATACTTTGGGATGTTGGGATTTTCAACCAGCATGTGTAAAAACAGATATGGTTTTTAAAGGTGCAAATCTTCATAACACTCACAAACTTGTGCGTTGCTTATGAAAAATTTTACTTGTTGAAAATAGTAAGTTGGTTCAAGTATGAGAATTAGAAAATATTGTTCTTGCACACATGCTGCCTGTAGAAATATTCAGCATAAATTTTGAATGAACTGCTGTTAGGCTCTTCTTGTGTTGCATGAAAAATGCCACTAACTGGTCAGTTTAATGAAAAATCTATGACATGGTAGTTCTTTGTGCTTTGGTTTTTATATATTAATTAAATTATGCTCTTGTACTACCAATGATTCTAGTGATTCAATTTCTCTGTTCCTCCATTCAGTGACTTCTCTGAGCAGTGCTATTTAACAAAATAATTATTGCATGACTGTATTCTCATGGCTGTTGTAAACTTTCCAAAATCCATTTTAGAGTAGGTCATGGACTTATCCAATTTTGTTTGGGAATGGGAGGTTGAGTTTACATGAATCTAGGATCAGCACATTGTTACTTGATAAAATATAGTTAGTTTCTTTGACATCAAATAATTTGCAATAATTGCCAGGATCAAAAGGCCCATGATCATTCTACTCTATGGGAAAGCAATGCTCTGTGACATAAGGAATTTCTGCTCCAGCTTCAATGGGCAATGAAGAGACTTATCACCATTTAAGAGTTAAGACAACACTAGGCACCCATACCTGACAAAGAAAAATGGAATGAAATACCATTTGTTGCATATGATCTCGTCTGTTTTCTCTTTTCAAATGTCCCCTAGATTTCTAGTCATACAACTAAGAAAAAAGCTTACCATCATTAAACCTCTCCTACACTGATCTTCCGTCATTGAAAATTAGAATGCCTTCAGTCATCCAAATTTTTCAGGAAGTACTGTAGCTTAGATTGAAATCAAAACGATGGAAATTTGGAGGACTCTTCAAGAATTCTTTGGCCTGGAAGATTTAATTACGAAAAGAAGCCACAGGTTCTTCTCTTAAGTACACACCAAGTCTCTTTACCCTTGAAGAAACCAAAAGAGGACGCTGTAAGGAAAGTGGAAAACAAGTTCCAATGAAACTCAAAGTCCAGCTTCACACGAGTTGACAAATGTATAAAATGGAACTTGTATAGGTTGAGTGATCTTTAAAAAAAATTAGTAAGTTTAAAATAGTTGGGAAGAAATCTCATTTTGCCTGCTGATTTCATGCTTAGGCTTTTGGGCCTTATAATGTAATTGGATCTCATATTTGGGCATATTAATGCATTATGCCTTGGAAGATTGATATTGCTATTTACTTTTAATATTGTACAATTCCAGGTCTTATACTGGCAGCAACAGGGAAGTTGCAGAAATACTTGAACAAATTGTAAGGCTCGAAATGAGATATGAATGCCACATCAAGTTGGCAGAGCCTCTCAGTTTCCTGAAGTACATATTAGGGAGATAAATATTCAATTTGAGCTCATTGTGTTTTTGGGGTAACTAACCCAATTTTCCTGCACTCCCCGTCTCTTGAATTGATGGAGATGTAGTGTCATCGGGGCCCCCACAATTTATTGCTGGTTTGATTTCCACCAAGTGAAAGAATGAAATAAAGATGGATTTTGAAACCATGTTAAACTGTGGATATCTAATGGAATTGTTGATAGTTTGTTCTGAATGTTTCTTTGTGGAGTGATACTTTGATCTATAAATAATTGTTTTATTTGCTATTATTGGCCCTCTATTGAGTCAAGAGTGTTCTCAAGTTACAGTCCTTGTGGAAAGAAAATAATTTTCTGTGCCTCGTTACCAGTGTCTGGTACAGTTAACCAAGTCGAAACAAGACCTTAAGAATGAAAGCGATCCAATGAATTGGATCGAATTACACATGCATATGAAAACAAATAGGAGTATCTCTTTCTATGTTTTTTGTAAATGCTGAAACGTGTTGTTGCCGACATTGAATGGAGGTATCTCTTTCTATGTTTTTGTAAATGCTGAAATGTCATGTTGCCGACATTGAGCCTGAATTTACTTTCTTTTTCTTCTTTATATGTAGATATTAGTTGATGTCAAGATTAAACAAAACTTTGAATCGGAACCAGTGAAAAATAGGAGTCATATCTCATCTTCTCAAGCTAGCATATTTTACACTTACCAGTTATAATTGCTCATGTGTTTGTATCCTGTCATTTCAGTTATGTTGTTATTGCCTGGTGATCAATCAACAAAATATATCTTAATCTCATTATAGAAATTACTTTTTATACCCTTTTAAGCATTTTAATGCAATGAAATTCTCTCTCTCTCTCTCTCTCTCTCATGAGTGAGTGTACGCACACACAAACACGCAAGCCAGCATGTTGTTCCTACCGTCAGATTTGGATTGGAGGCCTGATTCAATTCCAAAGGAATCATTTGGCATGGTCATGACTACCATCTTATTAGTACGTGTTTGTAAGCAATGAGCGCAACGAAGATTCTATAGAAAAGTTCAAATCCGTTTGGCCATTAAATGTCAGCAAAGGTTGGCTGAGTTTTGTGATTCGTTTGCTAGAAGTCCTGCAAAAAACTTCACTGCATTCATTGTATAGGAACCCTGTTATAAACATGGTTTATGGATACTAGAAAGAGGCACATGATTTGCGTCTCCATTTTCGTTATTAAGAATTAACAATGAAGTTATATATATATTAATATGAGTGTGGAACTTGACTTTTTTAGAAATGTGTCAAATTTAGTGGTGATTTTTTGGGGTTTTATACAAATGGGTGTGCGAGGGTCTCATAGGATCAAATATATATATATATATATATATAAAATAATAATAATAATAATAATAATGAAGTTAATAATTCTTAATATGGGAGCATTCTCAAATGATTCTTTTTTCAGTTAGTTTCACTATTATATATTTTAATTAAATTACTAATGAAAATATTTCTTATAGAGAAACAAATATAGCATAAAACTATTGTTTCAAAAAGCGGATCACTTAGAGCCTGGGCGACCGCCTGAATTTGTTTAGGCGGCCGTACAGGGCTTATGCCCCACTTAGGGGCGAAACTATGGCTTTTTAAGGGTATTTTTGGGTTTTTTTTTTAATACTAAAGAGGTAAAATTATAGTTTTAGGTTTAATTGAAACCTAAAACCCATTAGGGGCTATTTTAGAGAGAGGGAACTCAAAAAAAAATATTTTTGCTGAGCCGCCCAGGTTCTGGGTGGCTGCCTAGGTGCTAGGTGGCCTGGACCCCTCAAGCCGCTTAGGACCCACCTAGCACTTTTTGATACACTGCATTAAATTAAGTGGAAAATTACCGCAAACTTTTTTTTTTTTTTTGACAATATTCGAAACGTCTTATTAATCAATCAACATATCACAACAAAATTATAACACTCAACGAACATCATAAGCAATGACCAACACCGGAATTTAAGCGTCTTTTTTAGCCAATTCATCTGCCAAACCATTAGCTTCCCGAGTAAGTTGCTATAAACCCAGGCTTTTTCAATAAATACCCTACCCTAAAGCTTAGAATCTCCATTCTTCGGTAATAAAGTGACATGTTCAAATAAATATATATAAAATGAAATTATGTGTAGATTCTAATTCAAGGATTTTTTTTTTTTAACGGTAACGTACGACTTATCATTAATTCAAATGTAAAATACAAGATATTCTAGCAAAGACACAAGATTACAAAAATGTAGTAACCAACAGAGGGAGTATGGACTCCTCATTTGGCAAGAACATCGGCATCTTCATTCGCCTCTCTATAACAATGTTGGACCGTTGCTATAGAAGTTGACAAAATATCCCAAATTTGAAGAAAAATAGTCTTTAATCTCCAAGGAATATGGGCTTTTCTCTTGCTCCAGATAATGACATTTGTCGAGTCTCTTTGATAATCCTGCCCCCTTCCAAAGTGCATAGCAATTTCAGACCTTCTAATAAACCTCATGCTTCCACCTCATTTGCTACTGTGATACCACAATGACCCTAGCAAGAAAATATAATGTGACCCAATTATTTTTGATGAGACCACCATAGCCAACTGGTCTTGGATTACCAAGTGAACTTCCATCAAAATTAAGTTTGAAGGAATTCACTGGTGGTGGTATCCAAACAACCTTACTACGAATGTTGGTGGTAACACCTATAGTTGCTATTGCTAAGAGATTGCTAATGATAAGACTTTTAGGAATAAAATCACTATCCTTATGAGCGAGGAACCAATCAGCCACAACTGCCAAAATAGTCGATTTTAATGCAGACAGATCTGTACTTATACTATAAAAAAATCTTATATTTCTTTCTTTCCACACACTCCAAAGAAGGTTAACCCAAATAGATCTCCAAAGAATAGTTCCCATTTTTTAAATATTGAGTGCGATCCATTGGTCAATAAGAGTTCTGACACCATGGGGCAAAGGTAATGCTAGATCGAGATACTGCCGAGCCCAATCCCAAATATATGTAACAAAAGGGTATGAGATGAAAAGATGCTGTGAAATTTCATCACGTCTTTGCAAAGAATACATATGTTGGTGATAATAAACCCCATATTTCTCAAGTTGTCAACAATTGCTAATTTATCTTGACACATGATCCATAAGAATAGCTGCACTTTAAGAGGCACATGCAATTTCTTAGTCTTGAATAAACCGGGATCCAACTCTCTCCAACAATCAGAAAATAATAGATTGTAGGTTGACTTAACCGAAAAATCTCCTGAATGGGTAAGATCCTAAACGAAGTTATCATCCATATTTGGAGTCAAATATGTGTAATTCAATAATTCCAACAATGTTTGATACTCCTCAATGAATCTGTCTGTACTTCTCCTGAACCTACAAGGAATGAACCAAACGATATTAGTATAAACACCCCCAGTAGCCTCTTTGACAGATGTTAGTGGGTTTAAAGCTTTTGAGAAAACCTCATGGAAAATGTATTTCAACGAGTCATCTCCAATCCATTTGTCAAATCAAAAGAGAGTGGATTCTCCATTCCCCGCTATTTTTCGAAATTGCCATAGATATACAGATCTCTCATAATCAATACCTCTCCAATCATGAGACAAACTTGTCTTATTTCTTGGACTTTTAATGAGACCAAGTTCAAATCCATTCCATATTTATCTCTCAAAACAAGCACCCAGAAAGACTCAAGTTGTGTATGGATCCTCCACCACCATTTTATTAAAAGCGTCGATTTCATATGTTTCAGTCTCCTAACACCCAAACCTCCCTCTTTCATTGGTCTACAAACTTTTTTCCAACTCACAAGATGAAATACTTTTCTTCTTATGTCATCTCACCGCAAGAAATTTCTCATAATTCTCTCTAGTTGCTTTTCGACTTCTTTTGTCATCTTAAATAATGGCATAAAATATACTAGGAGGTTGGACAAAGTGGATTTAATCAACGTATATCTTCCCCCCATAGAAAGAGTTTTAGCTTTCCAAGTATCAAGTTTCTTGTCAAATCTCTCTACCACCGAATCCCAAATTGATTTTGAAGGCCTCGAATCCACTAGGGGAATTCCCAAATAAGTACAAGGTAAGGACTCGACCCGACAACCTAATAAATGTGCTATTCTTGATACAACTATTTGCGGATATCCAATCCCAATGAGCTTGGTTTTGCTCAAATTAACTTTACGTCAAGTTGAGAGTTCCACACTTTTCAAGAAAATCCATAGCAAGTGATTTCCTTAACCGTGGGATCGCAAAATATAATGATATCATCAACATTATTGTAAATGAGATACTATAAGACCATTATTACTAATATTAATACCTCATATGATCATTTGCACTATTAAGCATGACACTAAAGTTCTCAGCTACCAAAGTATATAAAAATAGTGAAAGATGGTCCCCTTGTCTCAATCATCTTGATCTTTTGAAAAACCTAGTTGGTTTGCCATTAACAAGGACTAAAAAATGTGCAGAAGATATGCAACCATCAATCCACAGTCTCCACATTGAGCGAAGACCCATTTTAAACATGATAGTTTGTAGTACCCCCCAATCAACCTTTTCATCACAGTCTAGCTTACAAATAAGGCCCGATTTGTCATCCTTGATTTTTGAGTGGATACATTCTTGTCAAATAATACTATCCATAATTTGCATATCCTTCAAGAATGTTGATTGTGGTCATTTGATAACTATGTGGATCATCTGACGCAGTCTATTGGCTAAAATCTTTGCTATGATTTTATACAAACTACCAATAAGACTAATAGGCTGAATATCCTTGATCTCTGCAATGACATTTTTCCTTGGAATTAAAGCAATAAAAGTGGAACTCATGACAGTAT